GAGCTCTCCATCAAAGAAAGCATTCAAGCAGTCACTGATTGACTCCATGACAAAACTGGTAGGAGTTTCTGCTAGGGGCTACAAAGTTAGAAGCACTGACCTCTTAGTTTCCCCCGAATCTTTTGTTGTTCAGCCCAACTCTCTGTGATCCCATGAACCACAGCACGCCAGGCCCTTCCACCCTCCATTATATCTCATCATCTACCGAGGTCTGTCCAAGCCCACATTCCCTTCAAGTCTATGCTTCCTTAACTCCTCCCTCCCTCGCCCTGCCTTTGGCCCTTCTCTCTGCTCAGGACTGCCAAGCTGGGAACTGCTCAGCTCCACTTTGCCTCCAAGGCTTCTGACCCTTTGGCTACACAGTCCCAGGTGCAGAGACAGAAGTTAGGAGACCAGAGAGGTTGTTGTGGTGGTTTGATGTGTTTTTTGTTTTTTCACTCCTTTAGCAATTGTTTTGTTTTGTTTTATTTTTGTTTCTGGTGAGGCAATTGGGGTTAAGTGACTTGCCCAGGGTCACACAGCTAGGAAGTATTATGTGTCTGAGGCCAGATTTGAACTCAGGTCCTCCTGACTCCAGGGCCAGTGCTCTATCCACTGCGCCACCTAGCTGCCCCTCCTTTAACAATTTTTTGAGTGTGACCCCAAAGTTGAGTCTAATTCTCATTGCTGTGGTGATTCCATGTACAACATGGATGGCTGCCCAACATAACACTACCTGGAAAGGGGTCTTCACAAACAGTTCCTCTCTTAAGTTAATAAAAGATTACTCTGAGGAAGGGGGTAGTAAGACCCTGTGGCTGCATATGAACCATGGCTGGGAGAACTAGAACAGCCAATTAGAGAGACTGAGACAGAGCTAGGTGACAGGTGTGGAGTCAGAGGAGCAGTGTGAAATTCTGGCTCTGCCTCTTCCCACCTACCTGACCCTGAGTTAGCCACTGGCCCCCTCTTGGCCTCAGTTACCATCTGAACAATGATGGCAGCTGGGCTGGGTGATCTGCCTCAGCTCAGGGGCTCCAAGTGGACCAGGCTGGAGAAGCCCAGCAGGGCAGAAAGGGACCTGCAGAGACCTCTTCTGCATCTGCCATTCCTTCATTCAGCCCCCAAACGGTCAACCTGTGAGCCCATTACTGTGGGCAAAGTGAGGCAGAGACCTCCGCCAGTCACCCTTCCATCCACAAACCAACACCCCCCCCCCCCCACACTTGGAGCTGATGAAAGACAGCGGAGCCCTTCGCGACAGCGTGAAATTAATATGATTTGGGGGGAAGTTGGCAGTGAATAATGAGCATCTGAGGTACTTTCTACAGCTACTTCTCCCCATCCCAGGTTTAACCCCTCTGTTGCCGAGCTCTGCTGAACAACGCCACACTCTTCCAAGTGCTCAGACCACGTAGCTCCTCACCCCGAAGTCCCATGGGCAGGGAAGCCCAGGAAAGTCATCTGGCGTCCCTCACCCATCTCCCCTCTGTTTCTGCACTGACCCTCACCAACCAGTTCTAAGTCAATGCAAGGGTGAGTCATTTCCACAAAATGAAACAACAATGTCGTCTGCTCAGCACTTATTTCATTAATGTTTCAGAGCAGCCACGTAAAGTGATTATACAGGTATGAGCAACCCCATTTTACAGATCATGGTCTCATAGGTGTGGAGCTGGAAGACCGACTAGTCCATCCCCCTCCCTCTCTATGAACAGAAGGACACTAAGACGGAGCGAGGGTCACACGAGGAATGAGTTACGGGATAAAAGGGGCATAGATTTAGAGCCAGAAGGGAACTTAGAGGCCATTAAGTCCATTTTACAGATGAAAAAACTGAAGACCAGGGCCTGGCCCACGTTGCCTGGAGGAGGAAATGCAGAAAGGTTAAGAAATCTGACCAAACTCTCAGAGTTAGTGGGGTACGCTCTCCCCTGGAAGGCCAGGGTGCAGAAGCTGAGCCCCCTGAAGCTAGGAGAGGAGTGAGAAGTGCTCCAAGCTAGGATGTCTCGTTTCCCAGGCACAGGGAATCCTTAATACCTTTCCCAAGGCACCTGCTAGAAAGGTCACCCCATCCAATTCTCTCATTTTACAGACCAGGAAACTGAGGCCCACCAAAGGAAAATGACTTGCCCGAGGACTAGAACCCGGGTCCTTTAACTTAAATCAAGCATTCTTTCCACCATACTAGACTTATGAGGCATAACAGAAGGATAGTTCAGGTGCTGCACTTATACCCACAGAATATACTTTTTAAATCCCAAAGCACTTTGCTAGCTCTGTTAAAATGCTATGGAAGATTTATGGGAAAGGCATGGATGGGAATACCACGGGATGAGAAGGGCCAGGAGGGATGTCTCTCAAGAAAGAGGAGAGAGGGAGAGAGGGAGAGACGGAGAGAGGGGGAGAGAGAGAGAGAGAGAGAGAGACATAGAGAGACAGAGAAAGAGAGACAGAGGCAGAGACAGAGAGACACAGAGAAACAGAGACAAGAAAGAGAGAGAAACAGAGACAGAGAGAAACAAAGAAAGAGAAAAACAAAGAGACAGAGAGTGGAGGAAGAAAGAAAAAAAAGAAAGAAAATAGGTGATGCGTTTACAGAGCCACTCTCTATTTCCCTAACTATTGGTTCAATCAGAGCATCTCTTTGGCCAGTGATATCAGAAACACAGACAAGCCCCGAAGCTCCAGGAGGTCAGTGAAGGGGTCATGGATGGGGAAGAGAGGAGAACGGCCACAGCTCACAGCTCACTCCTGTTCTAAGCTCTGTTTCCTAGCGTCATCCGTCACACAGAGCAACCAGCCCAATCCAACCACTGGCAGCAGGAAGAGATGATGGGAAAAGCTCTGGAGGACTTCTTTCCTGGATGCCTTATCCACATAGAAGGTTTAGGGAGAGCTCATGTGAATTAGTGGGTGGGGAGGCGGGGGCTGCTTTACCAAACAAGTGAGACAAACACATCCCTGCCCTCTAGAACTGTGACTCCCAGGTCATGACCAGGGATGATGCCTAATTCTTTGCCTCTGTGACAATTATACCATCCTGACTTCCTCTGTTCTTAAAAATCACTGAGAGATAGTTGTGCACTGAAGGAGCATTCACTCCATTGTGAGAGGATTTTCAGACTTCCAGGGAAGCCTGTGAGGGATCAGAAGATACAACAGGTGTAGAAAAGCAGGTGGGCATTCACTGATTTAGATGCTTACCATTTAACAGATACTGGGCAGAGGGAAGAAGCAGCGGGATGGACGGTGAAAGGTGTGGCTGCTTTAACTCCCTCCACTGAATGATGAGTAGCTGATCAGAGCCCTGCCTCTTTCCAATGAACACCCCTGCCCCTTTCCCACAGGAAAGCTCTGACCTTGACCTTGAGGATGAATTCCAGGCTAGATGGTTACAGTATAAGAATGACAGAGTTTCAGAGCTGGAGGGCTCTAGATTGGTGGCGATCTAGTTCCAACCTTAGATGAAGAAGAATCCCTGCTGTCACATATACAACAAGTGGTCATCGGGCCTTGGCTTGAAGACCTCCCATGGGAAGGAAACCTGTCACTCCCTTCCCAAAACAGTTCACCACTCACTGGGGCACCTCTTGTTGCCGGGCAATTTTTTCTGAAAATCAAGACTAAATCCGGGCATTGACAACGTGAACCTCCTGCTTCTAGCTTTGCCTTCTGAAACCAAAAAGAACCAAGTTAATCCCTCTCCTGCAAAAGCCTTTTAAACACTTGGAGATGGCTGTCATGTCTCCCAAGTCTTCTCTTCTCCAGTCAAAATATCCCCAGGCCCATCCTCACGTGGCCTGGACCGGCTAGAGGCCCTTCAGCATCCTGGCTGCTTCCTAGCTTCTCAACAGCCTTCCTGAAAGATGGTGGTCGGAAGGGAGCACCACAGCTCTAAGGAGGCCCGAACATGATCGTCCAAAGATCTTTCCCAAATCCACCAGGAAGAGACAGAGTGCCAATGAGCTCTCTGTGGACACCTTCCACTTCTCAGTAAGAGTGCGAATTTTTAAAGCTCTATCTTTACAGACATGGGTCGTTCTCCACCTATGCTATGTGTCTGAGATGGCTTAACTATAAATAATAACAACTCGCGTTTACATAGGTTTGCAAAGCGCTTTACATATGTTAACGATGTGATGGATTCTCACAACTACCCTATAAGTAGGTGCTATAATTATTCCCATTTTGCAGATGAGGAAGCTGAGGGAACAGAGAGGGTGAGTCCAATGGCTAGTATGGGGTTTGAGGAAGGATTCGATCTCAGGGCTTCCTGATTCCAAGTCCTGTGCTCTGTCCACTGTGTTACCTAGCTGCCTAAGGAGGCAAAAGAGAGACTTAATGATACCTGGAGCTTCTCCCCGGGCTCGGTGACAACAGAATGCAGAAAGAACCAAACTAGAGTGAAATCCAGGGGTGGACACATTCCTAAGACTATAGATCTTAGAGCTGGCAGGGAGACTGAAAGGTAAATAATAGTAATAACAATAGTTAGCATTCACATAGTGCTGCCACAAAGTTCTTTCTAAATACTTTTTCATTTGATCCTCACAAAAACCTGGGAGTTAATTTCTCTTGTAATTCCCATTTTACAGGAGAGAAAATTGAGGCAGAGAGAAGTGACTTGGGCAGGGTCATCCAACTCTTAAGTGTCTCAGGTCAGATTTGAGCTCAGGTCTTACTGACTGGTGGTCCATCCTGCATCTAGAACAATCCCCTCAATTTACAGAGGAGGAAACTGAGGCCTAGAGAGCGGAAGTCTGCTCAAGGTGGCAGTGCTAGAATCCGAACCCAGATCCTCCAACTCCATGCCCAGCACACTTCCGGGCCACATTTCTTCTCTTTGGCCAGACTGCTCTGCCTCTCACAGGCATCTCTTTCACTAGAAAGTCTTCTCTGGTTCTGACCCATAATATAGGTATAACATAATATAGCCTTCCAAGGCTGCTGCCTAGAAGGCCTCAGATCCCTGACCTGAGAAGGGCGTGCTGGAGAACATGGGAGCCTCAGGGGCTCTTTCAATCTGCTGGGGCTGGAGAAGATGCCGGGAGCAGTGGTTTTAAGTACAAACACCAGGAATGGGTGGCAGGCTCCTGATGAGGCCTTTTCACTTTCTGCCTATCAGCAGCCCCTGCAGAGATCTGGGAAGGAACTAGGGGTGCAAGAGGGAGAGAGGAATTGGACCCAGGCAAGTAATTCAGGCTTGAAAATGTAAGCTGTGTCAAAAGATGAAGAAAAGGTCCCAGCTAACGCAGGAGAGCTTTACAACCCCAAAGAAAACAACAGTCCTTTGAGCGGAGAATCCTGACAAAGGCGGTGCAGCCATCTCTTGTGAGAAGTTAAGCAGGTTTGTTTGTGACAAATTAAAAGGGCTTGGTTGAACTGCTCAAGACTGAGGAGTACAAAATAAAATATAAAATAAAATAAATACAAATAAAAAATAAATGATATACAGTTAAAATAAATGAAATGCAAATAATAAAATACAAAACAATGAGACGTTTCCAAATGTTTTAAAAGGAAAAAAAAACAATTTCATGCAAAGATTCTTGGTTGGATCAAACCTCAGAGGCCATCTGGTTCAATGTATACCTAAACAGGAACCTCTTCGCAATCTCCCCAATAAATTATTGTCCAAGCTCTACTTGAAGATCTCCAAGGAGGGGAAGCTTACCACCTTCCTTGGCAGCCCCATGCCACCTTTGGCCAGCCCTCACAGTTTGGGAGCTTTTCTCCCCAATCCTGGGTCAGGTCTGCTCTATCCCTACAGACTGACTTGGGCTGACTGGCATAAGAAGACACTCAGATGAGGGCTCAAAGCCTGTGGCAACCAGATTCCAAACTGAGTGTTCTTTGAACCCTACAATCACAGGCTCAGCTGAGTGCTGGAGCGCCCTGCATGGGGAAGCCTTTCCTGATCCCCGCTACTACCTAAGCTGTCAGTGCTCTGGACTCTTCAATTTATCTTCTATCTTCCCCCACATAATCAAAGAATCTGAAAGTTGGAAGGGCCTTCCGGTCCAAGCCCTACACAAAAGGAGCCCTTGCTATGACATGCTGGATGAGGGTCTGTGTACATGGGGTCGTTCCCCCCCCCCCACAGTGGAACACAAACTCCCTGAGGGCAAGCACTGCCCCATTTTCATAGGTGCCTCCCCAGGCCATAACACTGGGACTAGTAGGTATTTTAATAAATACTGGCTGGAGCAGAAGGGAAACCTTCTTTTACTTGACTATTCAGGGAGATAAACATCATTTCCAAGTACTCCCCAGTCATCTGGGCTCCAACTCCATTCTTAACACCAACAAGGGACTTGGAAATACAGCCCTCCAATGATGCGCTCCCACAATGGAACCCACCCCTCTTTACAGGCTCCAACAAAGCATGGAGGCCTTGGAATGGAAGAGGGGTTGAATGAAGCTCCCGAGACGATAAGGCAAGGTTACAGTGAGCTGCGAGCTGCTTCCAATGGGAAGGAATGAATTGAAAAAGCTCACCAACATCCACCGCCAGGCACACTCACCGCCCCGTCTCTGTTCATCACCTGAGCCTTTCTTAGAAACACAACAATCAGCCCATGGCCACATACAATGACTTGACAGAGAGAGAAGGACATGTGAATGCGCCGTAATGCAAGAAAAACCACCGGGCAGAGGGGGGTACCTTTGGATCTGGAAGGGTTAAAAGCCAATTAAGTTCCCTCGTTGGCACTGATTTGGGGCCTTTGGTGCTAGCCACATTAGCTCAGAGGGACCTCAAAGCTTTCCTTGACTTGGATCAGGTTTTCTCCTTTTCTTCCTTCCTTCCTTTCCTTCCTCTCTCCCTTCCTCCTTTCCTCCAATTCAACTCAACTCAACAGACATTTCCTATGTGTAAAGGTCCATGTGTGGCACTGCGGATGGCAAGACAAAAAGAAAATCCATTCTTGCCTTCAAGGTAGGGGATAACAACAACTTGGGGAATGTACGTGGATGAGTAAGTACAGAATAATTTGAGAGGGGGAAGCAGTAACAACAAGGGAGATGAGGGAAGGCTTGTGGTCCTTGGGCAGGGCCTTGAGAAAATCGAAGGATTCTAAGAGGAGGAGGAGGAGGGGGAAACACTGGGTCGGGGAAGGGCAAGGAGGCCATCCAGGCTGTGAAGGAGAGTGGGCCACGTCTGGAAGGCCGGCGAGGGTCCCGGCATGAAAGCTTCGACATGAAAGACCGAGTTCTGATTGTATCCTAAGGATAACAAGAAGCCCCTGAAGACTAGCAGGGGAATGACTGGGTCAGAACTGTGCATTAGGAAGATTATTTATTAACCTCCATTAACATGGAGGGGCAATGGGAGAGCTCTCCAGGAGAGGCCCAGGCACACCACGCTCTGAATCTGGGAACAGGAAATCGAGGAATCACAGACAGTCAGAGCTGGACCTACCTTAGAAATGCCCAGTTATTCACATGTTATCTCCCCCCTCCCCCCTTGGAAGGTGGGTTCCTTGGGGGCAGGAGCTGGTTTTGCCTTTCTTTGTATCCCCAGCACTTAGCACAGTGCCTGGCACATAGTAGGTGCTTATAAATGCTTGACTGACCTTTTTCCCCCTTCGCTTTGACAACTGTGGGCACTGAGCTTCAGAGAGAGGTTCATCATTCATTTAGGGACTGGGTAGAATGCACTGCACTCATCATGAGAGTAGACAAACAGTACTAAGGCACAGGTGCATCCCCTTGCTGTGATGACCAAATCTGTAGAGCGCTTTGCAAAAACCTTAAAGTGCTACATAATGCTGGCTACGATTATTATTAAAGTGCCATATAATGCTGGCTATGATTATTATTATTTTTGGCTAGGCAGTGGCGGTTAAATGACCTGCCCAGGAACACACAGCTAGTAAGTGTTAAGTGTTTAAGGCTGGATATGAACTCAGGTCCTCCTGACTCCAGGGCTGGTGCTCTATCCACTATGCCACCTAGCTGACCCCTATGATTATTATTAAAGTGTTACATAATGCTGGTTATCATTATTATTATTATTATTATTCCCTTGAGGTACTTACAATCTCGTAGGAGAACATACACATACACACATACACACACACACACACACATACACACACATGACAAATCAGACAGTAAGATGAGGGAGGAACAAAGTGCTATGAATTTAGATAAATGATTTCTCTGGGTCCCCCAGTGAAAGAGCAGTCAAATTTGGACTAGAACCCGGGACTCCAGTTTCTCATGATAGCAGCAGGTCCAGGCAGGATGGAAAACAAACCCAGAAATTCTCAATATGTGCTTTGAGCCAAATCCATCCAGTTCTTCCATCCAAGGTGGCTGGCATGAGATTCTAGCCTAACCAGATCTTCTAAGCCTTCTCCATCCTGGCTGCCCGACTCTGCATGCCCCCCAGCTTGTCAATTAATCGCCTTCCTCAAACATGGAGCCCAGGACCAGTCAATGTTACAGTGAAATCCTAGCCAATACAAAGGACCAAATTCCAACTCTGAATCTTCCCGAAGAGACCACTTGGTTTTCCTGAATATCATTCCTAGACACTGCTTGCTAGCCGGGGAGGGTCCTCAGTCCCACTGACCAGAAGACCAATTCAGCGGAGGGAGGCCCCCTGCCCATATTCTAGGGCTCATGCTCACCTTGCTGCCCCTGGCTTCCCACGCTGCCCCACCCGTCCTGGGGCACAGCATCTTCTCTGGGAAGCCTTCTTTGACTGCATGAACCGTGGAACTGGAAGGGGCCTCAGAAATCACCCAGTTCAGGCGTTCTGAACCAGGGGTCCATAAAAATGGATATGCTGATAACTGTATTTCAACATAATTGGTTTTCTTCATAATCCTATGTATTTGTATTTCACACATTTAAAAACTTTATTCTGAGTAGGGGTCAATAGGTTTTACCAGACTACCAAAGAGTTTTTAAGAGTTGGGAACTACTCCAACTCCCTCACTTCTACAGAGGATAATAAGGCCCAAAGGAGTAAGAAGCAGAATGGGGGCTTTAAACTCAGGACTTTGGACTGGAGTGCGGGACCGAGAGTCAAGAGGATCTTAATTCAGATCCAAGAGATACTTACTAGCTGTGTGACCCTGGGCAAGTCACTTAACCTCTGGCTCAGTTTCCCCATCTGTAAAATGGGGTAATAATAGCACCTACCTCCCAAAGTTATTGTGAAGATCAAGCAAGATAATATTTGTAAACTACTTTGCAAAACCTTAAAGGCCTAGATAAATGTTAGCAAAAAACTCATTGCTAAGAGTTCACATTCCTCTGAGTTGCTACAACACTGTCTGTCCCACTTGGTGACTTAACAAAGAACAATAAATGTGTAAAAAGAATTGAATAGCTCTGCACTTGTCGTACTCTTTTTTTTTTTTTTTTTGGATTAGGCAATGGGGTTAAGTGACTTGCCCAAGGTCACACAGCTAGTAAGTGTCAAGTATCAGAGGCTGGATTTGAACTCAGGTCCTCCTGACTCCAGGGCTGGTGCTCTATCCACTGTGCCACCTAGCTGCCCCACTTTTAGTACTCTTGCTATGGGTATCTTGCCATGGACCAGACCAGTCTCAGCCTCCCTTGTATCTCCCACTAGCCCCATCCCCTAGCACAAACCATTGCATGATGCTTCCTGGAGTCAGGAAGGACCTGAGTTCAAATCTAGCTTCTGACTGGGTGTGACCCTGGGCAAGTCACTTAACTGCTGTTTGCCTCAGTTTCCTCATCTATAAAGTGGGGATAATAATTCCTACAGTGTTGTAAGAATAAAGTGAAACAGTATTAATAAAGTGCTTTGCAAAATATAAAGTCCTTTGGATAAATGCTATTATTGTTCTATTGTGCTAATTATTAAAAGAGCCCTCAATCTGGTGATTGTTTTGTTGATAACTGAGAGAGGCTTTCACCATGAGGAGGGGTGGTTGTTTAATATCTATGTTAAGATCAGGTAAAAGAGTGCCGCTCCCCTGAGGGTCAAGCAATAAGCGCTATAGCTCTTTTCATCAGTCAGGACAGAGGACGCTAAGGAGATGGGCTCTCAGGAGCTTACTAGGAAGCCTGCAGGACAAGGTTCATCCTCAGGGGAGCCAGAGGACTTGGGTTCAAATCCCTGTTCCAGACTTCTGGCCAAGACGGCCGCCTGAACAGAGACAGACTGCCAGGCTCCTCCACATCTATTCTAGCAAAAACCTGAAATTCATACTAGACCAAATAATGGTCAAGACATCCAATAAAAAATTACAATAAGTGACTCCTTCCATCCCAAATCTAAAAAAAGCCAAATACTCCAACCAATAGCACAACACAGGGCGAAGCCTGGCCCTGGACCAAAGGCTTTTTTGGAGCCGAAGCTAGAGAGAGAACTAAATCAATGAAGACAACAACCAGTATCAATGTTGTTGTTGTTTAGATGTGTTCGACTCTTTGTGAATCATATGGGATGTTCTTGGCAGAGATACTGGAGCAGTTTGCCATTTCACTTTCCAGCTCATTTGACAGATGAGGAAACTGAGGCAAACAGGGTTAAGAGACTTGCCCAGAGTCACACAGCTTAATAAGTGACTGAGGCTGGATTTGAACTCAGGTCTTCCTGACTCCAAGCTCTGCCATCTACTTCCCTCAACCAGTATCAGTAAATTAACGCAAATTAAATAGTATTTGCTAAATGAGATGGCTGACTGGGAAAGGGATAGGAAAGGATACATGGGTTAATGATGATGATGTAAGAAACAAGATAAAACCTTATTTAAAAAAGTGTTGCAAATCTAGAGATTCCCCAAGAGAAGGAGAGAGTAACCCAAGTTGGAACTTGCAGTAGAAAAATGCAAGCCAAGACTCAAAGGAAAAAAGAATTTTCTATAAAGGCTTTGTAAATACCTATAAAAAAATGAAGCCAAAGATAAAAAAGCTCTTGAGGAAAGAATTGGAGGAGAAAAAAATTGCTTAGAAGAGAAAGAGGAACAGATTTCCTGAAAACTAGAATACAGCAAACAAAAATCAATGACTCCGATAAGACAGCCAAGAACTACTAAAATAAAATCAAACGACTGGAAAAAAAAAAAGAAGAAGAAAATGTAAGCTACCTGATTGAAAACAAATGACTGAAAAATAGGTCACAGAGAGATAATTTAAAAATGATTAGACTCCCCGAAGATCATGATTGAAAAAAAAAAATCTAACCACTGCATTTCAAGAACAAATGAAAACCGCCCAGATCTATTAGAACTAGAAAGTAAAGACAGAAAAGGTTCCACTGACCCCTTCCTGAAAGAAATCCCCAAACAGAAACTCAGAGGAATGACAGTCAAAATCTGGAGTTTCCAGGACAAAGGAAAAGAAAAAATCAAAACAAAAACAAAACTGAAGGCATCCAGAAAGAAGCAGGTCAAGTATCCAAGGATACACGGTCAGAATCACACAAGACCTGGTAGCTGCTACTTCTTTCCAAGAGGAGATCTTGGAATATAATATTCCCAAAGGCAAAGGATACAGGCGTACAACGAAGAATAACTTAACCTACAATGCTGTCGTTGTTGTTGTTCAGTCATTTCAGCTGTGTCTGACTCTTTATGGCCCCATTTGGGATTTTCTTGGAAGACATACTGCAGTATATTTCTTTTTCCAGCTCATTTGACAGATGAGGAAACTGAGGCAAACAGGGTTAAGTGACTTGTCCCAGGGTCACACCACCTAGCTGCCCTGCAAAGCTGAGTATAATCCTACAGGTGGAAAGTGTACAATCGATGTAACAGAGGACTTTCAAAGGATTTCTGATGAAGTGTGCAGAGCTAAGTAGAAACTCTAAAATGCAAACATAAGAGTCCAAAGAAATCTAAAAGGGAGCCATGGAAGACACGAATAAAAATAAATTTTACATTTTATATCGATTAATTATAACTAATAATTATAGTCGGTGCAGTGGATAGAGTAATGGGCCTAAAGTCAGGAAGACCTCATTTCAAAACCAGCCTCAAACACTTAACTAGCTGTGTGACCCTGGGGAAGTCGCTTTACCTATCTGCCTCTATTTCTTCATCTGTAAAATGGGGGTAACATCTAGTTCCCAGGGTTGTTTTGAGGATCAAATGATTATAACTATAAAGCATTTAGCACAGTGCTTGGCACACAGTAAGCATTACACAAATGTTAGTTATCGTTATCATCATCATTAAGAATGGGCTAAACTGCCTTCGGTAAATTTCAAAGCTCCTTTAAAGACCCTAAGCTTCTGGAAAGAAAGGCTCTTATCTCCTTAATATCAACACTCTGGCAGTATTTCTGGATGGCCTCAAGACAAGGAACACTAAGGTCTCAGAGAACTGAAAGAATGCATATCATGGAGAGAATGATGGAAAGGAACATGGCGGGCACGAGCTGCTGCATCAATGAGGGACGTCAAAGAAGAGTTCATTAAGGAAATGTATGATAGCAAGGAATGGTCAGAAATGAGTGATGGGTGACAGGTGCAAGGGATAGCACGAAAGGGAGGAAGGCCTCCAGGACACTGGGTGGAGCCCAAAGTGACCCAGTTCTGATAGTCTCAGATGTGCAGGAACCCTTCCAACTTCCCACCCTCTGAAAAGAAACATGGCTGCTTCAGTTGGCCCCATCCCATAAAGGAATAATTACAGGATGAACACAATTATCAAACGACTAAGCCAAATGAATCTCAAAAACTCGGGACCTCAAGTCCAATCCCCTCATTTAGAGGTGAGGAAATGGAGGCCCAGAGAGGTGACAAGGCATGTCTCACAACTAATAATTGCCTGAAACTCTCTAGCAATTACTTCCACTATGCAATACTCACTCTTGAAGAGTGAACCAGAATTATCCATAGGATGGAGCAGATTGAGATTATAGGATCACAGATTTGGACAAGGGAAGGTCTTAAGAAGTCATCAACAAGAGATAGAGTAGAAAATGGTAAATGTTCCAATTTTTCAAAAGGGAAGAGAATGGAGTATAAAAACTATGGTCAGTGAGTGAACTTGACTTTAATTACTGGCAAAATTTTCGAACATATTATTAAAGGGGTGGTTAGTGAACATTTAGAAATGGAAGTAGTGATCACAAAGAGTCAGTGTGGCAGTACCCAGGGCAAGCCAGGCTAATAACATTTCCTTTTCTTGACAGGATTAATAGAATCATAGACTAGACCGAATGCTGTAGATATGCTCCATTTAGGTTTTAACAAATCATGTGAACAAGCTTCTTGGCTATTCTTGCGGAAAAGATGGAGAGATGTCGGCCTAGATAATAGTGGAATTAGGTAGAATTAGAATTGGTTTAATGGGCAGATGCAAAGAAGAGCCATTAATGTCCATTTGGAAGGTCTCTGGAGCAGGGTCCCAGGAATCTGAGCTCAATCCTGTGCTGGTCAACATTTCTGCCTATGAGCTGGATAAAGCAATAGATAGCGTGTTTATCAAATATGCAGATGACACCAGAATAGGAAGGTCAGCTAGCTCAGGATAACAGAGTTGGGATTTTAAAAGCTCTTCACAAACTAGAACATTGGGGACAAACAAATGGGGCCAAATCCACTAAGGTGAAATTTAATAGAGAGGCAAAGCCCATGTTGGGTTAGAAAAATCAACTTCCTTAGTAGAAGATGGAGACTGTAGTTCTGAAAAAGATTGGGGGGGGGGGGTTTCAGTGAACTCTAAGCTCAATCTAATAAGCCTGATATGGCATCTATGAGAACGAATGCACTCATCCTCGGGGTGCATTGAGAG